ACAATATGAAAAATTGCTAGCTTCTCATTACCAAGATGGAGGCAAAAATTCATCAACAAAGTTTAAAAAAAAAAAAAAAAAAAAGCAGAAGCCATCCACAAAAAGAAAATGAATATTTAAAAAAAACAAAAACAAAAAACCTTGCAACCAGCGAGTCATGGTTTAATCCTAGCACTCAGGAAGCAGAGGTAGGAATTTCAGGCCAGCCTAATCTACAAAGAGAGTTCAGGATAGCCAAGGCTGTTACACAGAGAATCCCTGTCTCAAAAACAAAAACAAGAACAAAAACAAAACCAAGCGGAGCATTGGTGGCATACGCCTTTAATCCCAGCACTTGGGAAGCAGAGGCAGGCAGGTCTCTGTTAGTTTGAGGCCAGACTGGTCTACAGAGCAAGTTCCAGGACAGATAGGACTGTTACACAGACAAACCCGTCTCAAAAAACAAAACAAGAAATTTAATATCTAGAGAAAATACCCTTTACTAATAAGATTACAGTAAGTCAAAATCCTTTGTTACTGGATTTATGAAATACACAGATGTCTCATGTATGACAGCAATAACAGGAAGACTGACTCGAGTGCTGTTAAAGTATGCTAAGTAGAAGTGTGTGGTTGATGTACTGGAGGTTCAGTCTACTCTTTTACTTGGAGATAGTCAGCACTCACCAAGAGTTGACTGTGATGGTTTAGAGCTTAATTCTGTCATCCCTACTGGAAATGGAACTAAGGCCAGGATTTTTTTTTTTTTTTTATTACAAAGAAAAGCCTGAATCTAATTATGATGGAATTGCTTATATGATACCAAACCTACTGCTAAGAACAACTCTAAAATCTGTACAGATATAAAAAATAGATGTTTGGCAAATTCAGCAACCATCCTGGGTAGCCAGGGTGAGGGATTAGTGAAGAAGGAAGTGACTGAGCTGGACTTCCTTCGTCACTTTTTCCCTGGAGGAAACTGTTGGCAGCTCAAAAAGACAGAGTAATTAGCCAACCGGATGAAAGCTGGACTTCAAAATCCTGGTAACCACCTTTGGCTTTCCAGTGAGACGTGAAGGGAATCAAAAACTACCAGGAAAGGAAGGAAAACTGGAGAAAGAATCCGCTCTGACAAGGCCTAGCGTCAAAGCTGTCGTCCCATCATTGATTATGGCTAACTGTCATAAGTGAGTTGACTGAAAACTAAATATCTGGGATAACCAGATACTGACTTTCAAACAGTTGTGATGAGAAGCCTCAGTGGTAAAAATGGATGATTTCCCCAAGGACTTGGAATCTAAGAAAATTGTGTAATTAGAATTAAAAAGTTAAGCTTGAGAATTGGCTCAGTGTTTAAGAGCACTGGCTGTTCTTCAAGAGAAGCCAGGTTCAATCTCCAGCACCCACATGGTGGCTCACCACTATCTGTAAAAGATTAAGTGGAACGATAAAAATATTTCACCCTTGAAAAGGAAGGTAAGTATGAAAGGAAAGAAAAAAGAAACAAGTTAGAATGAGACCCAAGTAAAATAATATGAAGGTATCAGGTGCAAATGTAGTAAATTTCTAATCCAAAGTCTAATATTATCAAATTGTGGTAAAAATAAAAATTCAGCTATATGCTGCCCACGAAAGACATAAATAAATGAAAGGGTGCAGAAAACTTAAGATAAAAAAGGAAAAATGTATATCCACTTACCCATAATTTTTTACCGAAACAGGCAAAACAAATTTCATCCAGGCAAGTACCACAGGACAGCAGAGATAAAAGGGGTGTGCTCTGGTAATCAGTACAACAGAATGGCACAGCCAGGGTCAGGACTGGCTTCGCATAGCCATCGCGTGCCCCCTGTCTATGTGCAGTAACATCAGCCAATGGCTTGAAATCAGGAACAGTTAGCAGTGGAGGCAGCAGTGCTGGCAACGAGGGCTTGGACCTTTCTTCCCCTTGCCAGTTGTTCCCTAGCACAAAACAAGATTATGATGCAAAAGCGAAAGCTTAAAAGGAGGAAAGGTGCAGGCAGAGCTGGAGACTTTGGTGCCCCCTCTCCCATGACCCATAGATCAAGCAGCCAGCAGCACTTCAATGTGGGGACAAAAGCAAAATGAGTTCCCAAATGCCTAGAGCAAGGAGTGTGCATGTTGGTACTGAATGACGTTGCTCTCTCCCAGCATCAGTTCTATAGTTTTATATCACAGTAAAAATCTGTGATACCTGAAAAAGACCAAGGCAATGTAGACAGATGAGCAACTAAGTGTTCTCAGTGCTCTCCTAGAGGACCCGGGTTCACTTCTCAGCACTCACATTCATGCGGCTCACAACCATCTGTAACTCCAGTACCAAGGGATCCACACCTCTTCTGATTGCCCTGGGCTCCTGCACATACATGGTATACAAACACACACTCTGGCACACAATATACTCATAAACAAATAAATATTGAAAAACTTAAATAAAAATGGGGGTGGGTGGGTGGAGAGATGGCTCAGAGCTCTGGCTGTTCTTCCAAAGGTCCTGAGTTCAATTCCCAGCAACCTCATGGTGGCTCACAGCCATCTGTAATGAGACCTGATGCCCTCTTCTGGTGTGCAGGCATTCGTGCAGACAGAACACTGCATACATAATAAATAGAACTTTAAAAAAAGAGAATAAAAATTGGGAGCAAAACCAGGAATATTTCTTAAGTATTAATGGACATAGTAGGCACATCTCATTTTAAAATAATTTAACATACAAAACATAAAAATTTACATTTGTGAGGCAAATTTTTTGGATAGCCTGACTTTATGTTCACTAGTATCAGATTCCCACCTGAAATCTGTCAGGGTAGAAGTATTTTTACCATGGAATTGAGTAAGTACTGACAAGTGGGGAATGTTCTTTATTCCCCTTGCACAGATTTGCATTAAGGGATTCAATGCAGCTTTGTTTAGTGGTAATCACAGATTGACTAAGTCACTAGCAGCCGTGAATATCAAACATTATCTTGTGTCAAGCTCTATTCTAAGCAGTTTCCTATGTCAAGTTATTGAATCCATTCAGAAGCCAAGTGAGAGACATGTCTTTATTATCTTCATCTAACAGTGAGGAAATGGAGACAATGAACACATAGTATGTTAAAATCACACAGCTGACCCACACAGGGCAGTTAACCATCGTTTCACACATATTGACTGTTCTTAAGGTGATTCAGAAACACACTTAAAACACAAGGGCACATTTGGTGGTGCACGGCTGTATTCTTAGAATTTGGGATCAAAACGCAGGAGGGTTGGGAGTTCAAGGTCAGCCTTGGCTATATAATGAGTTGAGGTCAGCCTGGACTGCAATGAGATCCTGCTTGAAAAAAAAAAATCCCAAACAGAAAACAAAGCAAATCCAAAGATGCATATGGACCGTAAATGTATGTTATTTCTGCATGCACTTCCTTTTGCCCTGTTTCCCCTCCCCCTCCCTCCTTCCCTCCCTCCCCCTTCCTTCACTCCCTCCCTCCCTCCCTCCTTCCTCCTTCCCTCCTTCCTCCTTCCCTCTCTCCCTCCCTCCCTCCCTCCCTCCTACTCTCCATGTGTCTTTCTTGAGCACTCCTTGTGTGTCTCTATGCATTTCTTAAATGCTACCTAGAAATGTCATTTATCATTTGAGTTTCTCAAATAAGTAGTTATGTGCACAATAGTCATAGCCTGCAGACTCAAACTCAATTACAGGATATGATTTTCTAGCAGAATCAACCTCTGAAAACATTTTTATTTTCCTCAGACATCAAGTCAGACATCTTTGCTCTGGTTCCTCGTAAAGTCCCATATAGAACACATAACAAAATGCACTTACATCATTTTATGCACACAATTTAGTGGTACTGGCATGCTTAAATCGCTATGCAACCAAGACTAGTCTGTCTCCAGAATTCTGCCATCAACCTAAAGAGAAATTCTTTACGCATTGAAGATATTTTCCACCCGACTCCTGCCTCTAAGAGTCTGCCTTGTGGTTTCCGTGTGTCTGATGAGCTGCTCTTGATCCCTCACATAAAGGGAAGCCTGTCATATGCATCATTGTGTGTCTGGCTTCACCTCCGAGTTTTCAAGACTCACCCATTTCATGCATTGTAAGGCTGCAGAATACCCGATTGCATGAAAACGTTCTGTGGGGTGCTTCTTGCCTCTTTTGATGGTGTCTTTTATATTCAATGTTTTTAATGTAGTTCAGCTAATCCAGGATTTTCTCTTAAGTGTGACTTTGGTATTATTCCCCAAAATTATCACCAAGTGAGATGTGGTTAAGAATGTCTACATTTCCTCTGAGAGCTTGTTTTAGCTCTCCTCCCAGGCAAGCTGCTTCGTACTACCACAGAAGGAAACTGTCTGCCTTCTTCTTCTTCCTCTTCTTCTTCTTCTTCTTCTTCTTCTTCTTCTTCTTCTTCTTCTTCTTCTTCTTCTTCTTCTTCTTCTTCTCTCCCCCCTCCTCCTCCTCCTCCTCCTCCCCTCCTCCTTCTTTTTTGCAGGTGGACACTCAGTTTCCCAGTCCCCTTTGATGAGAACATTGCCCTTCATCCTCTGGATGGTGCTGACATCCTTGATAGAAATCATTCATCATATCTTAGGCCATGGTTGCTTCTGTACCATGTCCTAATTATGTAAAAATGGGCAACATGCCCTATACTCCTTCAGTAATCATAGAGTATATTTTCTTCCTTCCTTCCTTTCTTTCTTTCTTTCTTTCTTTCTTTCTTTCTTTCTTTCTTGTTTTTTGTTTTGTTTTGTTTTGTTTTGTTTTCGAGACAGGGTTTCTCTGTGTAGCTTTGGAGCCTATCCTGGCACTTGCTCTGTAGACCAGGCTGGCCTCAAACTCACAGAGATCCGCCTGCCTCTGCCTCCCGAGTGCTGGGATTAAAGGCGTGCGCCACCAATGCCCGACGATAGCATATTTTCTAATAATGAAAATATACATAGTCTGGGATGGCAGAGGGGTTATATGTAATAAGTGAGTATGATGATAAATTAAGATGACAAGAGTCACTGGAAATGATTTGAAGCACCTCTTTATTATAGATAGGTAAATGTAGTTTGCTGAGGTTAACGGTATGCTTGTAATGGTTGAACAACAGGCTCATCCATATGACAAGAGTTATATCTTTTTCTTTTAATATTGAACTAACATTTCTCTGACAACAAGGAAAGACTGAATGGGCAGAGCTTAGTTTCAGTGGGAAGAGACCTCCTCAATCCTGGATGCCGCTATAAAGACCATGAAATTCCTTTCAGCACTAACACCATATTCAAGAACAGTAGAAGAAAAATCAGTGAGTACTATGAAGTATTTTCTATAAAGCATAAATATAGTTTTATAATTTAAAACAGCAGCAATTTTCAAAAGGTTGGCTGAATTAAAACTTTACACAGTATTTATATATATATACAAAATATCATTCCAGATGATCTTGGAGTTGTAAAACAGTATGTTACAAACCCCAGTTTCTAAACCAAACTTACCACCGGATATCAGTGGCCAAAGGGACTTTTTACAGCAATTTAAAGAAGAAAACAAAAAACAAAAGAAACACCCCAATTCTCTTGCGTATACACGGGAGTTATGACATGCTGGCTTTGATTCCGTGTGCATAAAGAGAATTTTAAAATAAAATAAGGACTTTGCATAAATAGCTTTACTTGTTAATAAGCATGAGGCCAAACAAATGGAAACAAGTATTAACAATTAAGGCATATTTTGATGTAACCAGCACATACACTCTTAATGACGAAGATAAAGAAAGAAAGAAAATAGTGTAAGACAGCCACAGCACCCTGTTTTGAGAAACAGCACCAGGCGACACACAAAGGCAACATGGAAGAGGTAGTGTGGGCCGGCTAAGAGGTGGGGGACCTGAATACAGTTCAGGGTTTGGGGAGAGAAGGAACCACAGACTGACTGGCTCGCAAGCTTTAGACAGAAACGTCGCACCGTTTGGGTCAATATCCAGTACTGCTCCACGGTGCCGCGCAGCTCCAGCTGTCTAACGGGTGAAAGCATAGGGCACCCTCAAGGATTCCCGGTTTATGCATTTTCAGTTCTAGGGAAGTCTTTACGAAAACTCAGATCAGAAAAAAAAAATTAAGAGAATTAAATATACTATCAATCATAGTGCTTTAAAAACGCCGTCTCTCCTTGGGAGGAAATCTTTTCTTCCTGAGATTTCTTAAGATTTAGCCGTTGTCTCCCTCGGCCTCTCATAATGACAGGCTTTTCTGTCTGCATTTCCCCCTCTGCACCAATCAATCAGCTGACCCACAGCCCGGCTGCTGAGCTGCTGCAGAGGTTTTAGAGAAAGCACACGGAACTGCTTTCAACGTAGTGCTTTCGCTCAGTTCTGAGATGACGAAGGTTTTGGACTTCAATCACAGGAAGCTGATCAGGATTCTGGGTGTGAAACAGGAATTTTGCCTTGTGCCAGCTGCCATCCTGAATCTGTAAAAGAAGAGCAAATACTGTCATACGTAACTGCTTCTCCAGACACTCATTCTCAACAAGCAGTACCGTTCATAAGCAATGTGGAGTCCTTTCAAGATTTACAGAGACAGTGACGTTAGCTTTCGTGTTGCATGCCTGAGAATATCAGCAGCCCAGTCCAGGAATATCACAATTTGAGGAATGCCTGGAGTACATGGTGTGTTTGAGGCCAGTTTGGGTATATAGAGACCTGTTCCCCCAAAGTAAAAACAAAACAAAACAAAACAAAAAAAAACCCAAAGATTTAAAGACAATAGAAAACATTTAGAACAATGTTAAATAAACAGTAATAATTACTATCAATCAAAAATGGGAAGTCTAGGGCTGGAGAGATGGCTCAGAGGTTAAGAGCACTGACTGCTCTTCCAGAGGTCCTGAGTTCAATTCCCAGCAACCACATAGTGGCTCACAACCATCCGTTATGAACACCTCTTCTGGTGTGCAGATATACATGGAAGCAGAACGTTGTATACATAATAAATAAAATCTTTTAAAAAAATGGAAGTCTAGGCTAATGCTTCCTTTTTTTTTCTTTTCCTCCCTAGCCCTCCCATCTTCTCCTTCTTCTCTGCCCCGCCCCCATTCTGGGGGTTAAAGCTAAATCCTCTCACTCACTAGGTGAGCATTCTATCACTGGGCTGCAAGACTTTTTACATACTGATGAAACTGATGAGCTACCTACCATGCTAACACAGCACTTTGTTTTTTTAAATACTTAAAGACAAGATCTCATTAAACTGCCTTTGCCCTCACTCTATAGACAAGGCAGGGCTTGAACACACGATCCTTCTGCCTTAGTCTTCTGTGTGGCTGAGATTATAGACCCATACCATACCACCAGGCCCACTGTGGTTAATTGTCAATTTGACAGAATCAGGCATCACCCAGGAGGCTGGCCTCTGATCATGTTAGTGGGGGATTATTTAGTTACATTAAGTGTAGTGGGAAGACTGCCCACAGTGGGTGGCAGCATTTCCTACACAGGGGATGGATCCTGGGCTACATATGAATGAAGAAAGTCAGCTGGGCACTAGCATGTGTGTGTTCATTGATACTATGGATGCTATGTGGGCAACTCTGACCCACAGTAAACTTTTCCTCCCATAAGTTGATTGTGCCACTGTTTTATTATTTGCACCAGGAAAAGAAGCTGGAACTCTAGGCTTCCTTCCTTTGCTGTAGCTTTGTCTTCTGATTTTTGTGAGCCTTCTGCTACTGATGTCGGAAGCAGATGTGAATTCATAGGCTACAGTCTTCGGCATAAGGGTCAGACCCATCTGTTCCTTTTTCAAGTATTTGGTGTGTGTGTGTGTGTGTGTGTGTGTGTGTGTGTGTGTGTTTCGGAAGCAGATGTGAATTCATAGGCTACAGTCTTCCTCATAAGGGTCAGACCCATCTGTTCCTTTTTCAAGTATTTGGTGTGTGTGTGTGTGTGTGTGTGTGTGTGTGTGTGTGTGTGTGTGTGTGTTAAGTTAGTGGAAAAGCAATAAGAGTTAGTTCTCTCCTACCACCTGGTTCCCAATGATTGAACTTGGGTTATCAAGCTTGGCAGCAGAGCTTTTACCCACTGAGCCATCTTGCCAGTTCCCCCTGCCTGTATTTGTTAAGGGTGGTCAATTTTTCTGGGTAAAAGAGGATTCATTATCCCAATCTTTGTATATTAGGTAGCAAATACCTAGAATTGTTTTAATTAGAAGCAGTTAGATGATAATCATATTGGATCATCTTAGGTTCCATCCCCCCTTCTGTGGTTTTCCATTTGAATGGCTTTCTTCTTTGTTCTTCCCAAGCTGTCTGCTTCTCACGATACTACAGCCTCTGCTGTTTGTGATAAATGATATGATCAAAACCCATCATAAAATGTTCTATGTTAAAAATTCAACACGGTTTCCTAAATTTATGGAGCTTTTTATTCAGAAGCCAATGTACTTGCTCATAGTCTTGTCATGGTCTGAATTCTAAAATTTGAAGGATCATCAGTGACTATTTAAGCTAATGTCTTCATGTTGAGGCCAAGTCCATTGACGTTCACCAATAAATCAGTTGTCTGATGTCATAAGGCTGGTATGATGACCAGACCTAAATGTTGGAAAGACACTGACCTGTCAAGCAGACACGGAGCATAATGCAGCTGTTAGATTCATTCACTAACCATCAGGAGGACACTGAATACCCTGATGCTGAACACTAGGCACAGCTGAATGAGCTGTCATTTGTAATTTTATGACCTTGCTTGAGAAATACAAAGGTGACTAAATTGGCTCTGACCTCTGAAGTAAAGAGCTTAGCAGTCTGACTGCTGAGAACAGAAATAAATAAGCGAGGCAAGATCATGTAAGGCAAGGGCAAGATACAGCATACAGACGGAGACTGTGTACAGCAAGGGCAAGATACAGCATACAGATGGAGACTGTGTACAGCAAGGGCAAGATACAGCATACAGATGGAGACTGTGTACAGCAAGGGCAAGATACAGCATACAGACGGAGACGGTGTACAGCAAGGGTAAGATACAGCATACAGACGGAGACTGTGTACAGCAAGGGCAAGATACAGCATACAGATGGAGACTGTGTACAGTAAGGGCAAGATACAGCATACAGATGGAGACCGTGTACAGCAAGGGCAAGATACAGCATACAGATGGAGACTGTGTACAGTAAGGGCAAGATACAGCATACAGACAGACACACATCCTAAATTCTTCTTTGCTACAGAAGTCAGGAAACATTTTATGAGAGTGAGAATTTAGCTGGGTCTTAAAGCATGCCAGAAACTTCCAGATGGTCGTTGCAGAGACAAAGGCAACTCCCGGTCCCCAACCAAGACCGGATGGCAGAGAATGCGGTTGTGAAATCAGCCTAGCATGGGGTAAGAACACACCTGGGAAAATTTCAATGGAAATTCAGGCACTGATAGGTTTCCTCACATATATAATGGGACTTTAACCTGTCGCCCAGGGCTGGAGAGCAAATGAGAGTTCAGTTAACCGATGCAAGCTGGCTGAGAGGCACGGGATTTGGAGCGGTGTATACCTGCGGTTGTTTGCTTCTCCACTAATTAATTAGTTGATAACCCCAGGAAGTTCCTTAAACTTTCTGTGCCTCCACTTTCTTACCTATGAAATCGGACTCATCTTATTTGCTTGTCTGGAAGACAATCTCGTGTCGCCAAGGCTCCTAATCCTCCTGCCTCCACATCCTAACTGCTAAGTTTAGACTGTGCGCTACCAAGGCTGGCTTGAACTAATTTTTTCTTTACAAATGTATTATGATGAATAAAATGGTATATACACTGTATGTCCAATTACCATATAAAAACAATCAATAAATAATAGAATTATTATTATTATTATTATTATTATTATTATTATTATTAATAGTTCAGTTTGGCCATAGACTAGGGTAGCAGCCAATGAAAGTCCAGCCTAGAAACATAGATTGGGGCCTGACTGTTGCTCAGCTGTGTTCAGCTCACTGATGCTCAGATTTCATCTTGGAGGTGCTAATGAGCCACTTCCCAGAAAGTTTCTGGGAAGGACTAAAAGTTACATTCTCTTTAAAGAGAATAGGAGCAATCTACTTTTGATCATTTACTTATGAAAAGAAATGTAGAAAAAATGGCCTTCAATGGCAAGAGAGCCAGGTGGTGGTGGCGCATGCCTTTAGTCCCAGCACTGGGGAGGCAGAGGCAGGCGGATCTCTGTGAGTTCGAGACCAGCCTGGTCTACAAGAGCTAGTTCCAGGACAGCCTCCAAGGCCACAGAGAAACCCTGTCTCGGGCAGAAAAAAAAGAAATGGCAAGAGATGTTAAATCATGGACTTAATTATATAGTAAGGCAGGAAACAATGCTACTTAAAAATAATAAATGAAAACTTAGTTGTATTTATAATTAAGGTTGCCATAGTATCTATTATTTCCTTTCAGTAGAAAAAAAATGAGCTAAAAATCAAATACCAAGAGGGCCAGTCAGTCCACAATTGCATTCATATTTAATTATATAAGATTTAGCAAAAACAAATAAAGTAACAAATCCATGACTTGTCTTACATGTAGCAATAAGATATAGAATACAAAATATGAAATAAATATATTTATGTGCATGCTATATTAATTGATTGATCATTTGAGCTACCAATCATTTCATTCATCTATCCAGATATAACTGTTTCTTCTGAGGACAAGCATCTATGTGTTAACATTTGTTTTCCACATAGAAGCCCATAAATAGGGGTTGGAGAGATGATTCATCAGTTAGGAGCACATGCTGCTCTTTTAGAGTGTGGTTCCCAGCATTCACACCAGACAGATCACAACTGCCTGTAACTACAGCTCTAGGGGATCTAACACCCCCTTGTGGCTTCCATGGGCACTTGTACATATGTGGCAGACACAAACACAGAAAGACACACACACACACACACACACACACACACACACACACACACACACGTAATTAAAACAAGGATCTGGAGAGACCGCCCAGTGGTCAAGGACACGTGACTCTCTTACAGAAGACTGAGGTCTGGTTCTCAGCACCCACAGCCATCTGTAACCCCAGTGCCAGGTGGTTCAGGGCCATCCTCTGACCTCACAAGGCACCAGCCACCATCTGGTACACATACATACATGCAGGCAAAACATTCATGCATGTAAAAAATATTTTAAAATAAATCTTTTAAAAAGACATTAAAAAAAAACAAGAATGAGCTGGGAGTTGGTGGCACACACCTTTAATCCCAGCACTCAGGAGGCAGAGGCAGGTGGATCTCTGTGAGTTTGAGGCCAGCCTGGTCTCCAGAGCGAGTGCCAGGATAGGCTCCAAAGCTACACAGAGAAACCCTGTCTCGAAAAACAAAAAACAAAACAAAACAAAACAAACAAAACAAGAATAAGCTGGGCATAGTGTCACATGGGAGGGGTCAGAGGGATCTTTGAGTTTAAGGCCAACTTGGGCTACATAGCAAGGTCCAGGATACCCAGGACTATATGGAGAGACCCTGTCTCAAAAAACAAAACAAAACAAAAATCCTCAAATAACCTAGTAACATAACAAAAAATTGACAATATATACATACCTAAATAGGTAGATATAGATAGATAATGGGTGTTTATGGGAAATGTAGGTATATCCGGGACCTTAAAACTTAGCACCCTTCCTTCCATAGTTTCAGTTTGTAAGGACAGCCCTAGTCTCCTCATTTTAAGTCACATTTCCAAAAGCGCCATTCTCTTACCTTGCAGTCATCTGAGAGGACTTTGGGTTCAAGTAGAGTATTCTCTTCAAAAATCTGACCATTCCATCCTTTGAAACTAATAGGCAATCCTGGCCCATCTGCCTGTGTGCTTGTCCACCCTGGGGCACTTAGACAGTGAACGGTGATAATGTGGGTGGCTTCTGAGCTCAGCAAATGAAGAAAGTTCATCTGCACTTTGCCAACGCCAAACTCCAGCTAGTGTCATAGAAACAAGAGTCACGTTATACCACATGGTGTTATAGGGAAACTTAAGGAAGGGCAGCCTGGGAAATCTGGAATTTAAATGCCAATAGGTAGAATTCTGGCAAAGGTTTAATCATGCATTCCTGGTGGTGGTGGTATTGGTGGTGGTGGTGGTGGTGGTGGTGGTGGTGGTGGAGTTGTTGTTGCTGCCGTGTATGCATGATCACGTGACCTCCGATTCTGATTATCAGGGCAGAAACACTGTTGTCAGGCTACCAAGGTGATGCCAGTGGGCATGGACCAGGACAGGATGCTGACACAGTGTTTTCAGAGTCTGTGTGAACTGCCTGCAGCAGACCATTAGGCTATTACATATAATAATATAATAATTTTATAGTGCTACTTACAATACAGTAATAGTTGTTATTTGCTTGGCATAATGCTATAGTCTGTTTTTCATGAGAGTCTTCATTCGATATTACTTTTATGTTAATTTCATAAAATATGTTACAAGCTTAGAAAACAACTTGATTGAATAATTTTAATTTTTTGTCAAATCCTAAAGTAGTTGCAAACAGTGAGTCAGCGAGAAATGTTTACTAAGGGTATGAATGCATGAACCCGTCTTAACCAATAGCGTGAGCAGTACAGGGGAAAACAGGAGGTAGCGAGTCTAACTACACTTTCCCACATTTGGAAAGGGAAGTAAATGTTTTGTAGCCCCGCCCACCTCCTCCACTATCACCATCACCACCATCACCACCATCATCACCACCATCACCACCATCATCACCATCATCATCACCATCATCACCATCATCACCATCACAACCATCACAATCATCACCATCATTATCACCATAAACATCATCATCCCCCACCCCCACCCCCCCCCCCCCATCATCCCCATCATCACCACCACCATCATCACCATCATCACCATCATCACCATCAATCACTATCATCACCATCACCACCATCATCACCATCACCACCATCATCATCATCACCATCATCATCATCACCATCATCATCACCATCATCACCATCATCACCATCACCACCATCATCACCATCAATCACCATCATCACCATCATCACCATCAATCACTATCACCACCATCACCACCATCATCACCATCATCACCATCACCATCACCA